CCACTTTAACTGCAGATGATGGAACCTGTGGCAGGATCAGGGCCTCTGAAATAAAGACAGAGGACAGAAAGAGTTTGTCTGCTACTTGGACACCTTGCTGTAGATAGGCATGATGTGCAACGCTTACACTTAACAGTACTGAGGGAATTAGGTCCCACTTTGAGCTTCCTCTCCTGCGTTATTATGTACACAGCATCTTACAACACATCACATATTGTATCTGGGACCAAGCTGTACTCACGATGAGTGCAGCTGGGAAAGAAGAGGACGTGTTTAGAGTTTTTCCTATCGGTGAGAACTTTGCTCAGTACGCTGATTTAACTTACTTTCGTGCTTTGTAAGGCTCCTGCCTTTTTGTTTGTTTGTTTTTAAAGAAGGTGAAAGATGTATGCTAAACAAGAGTTTGCAGGAAAAGTAAGACAAGCTTAATGACAAAAGCAGCACACAAAAACTTTCTGAAGAAATATAATTTTAATCTTGGACACAGAACAGAAGATCTTAGATGCATGTGTCACAAACCCTGGGTTACTGTGATGAATGGTTTTTTTCGATGCTTGATTTGAAACTTGCAGAAGCAACCATATCTGAAAACTCAATGCATACTATGTTTTGATAAGTATAATAACAGTGCTAAATCATCCGAAAAATCCAATTCCAGTTGTCTCTAGTTGGCCATTCTAATTTACTAGATATTTTTTGGCCTTAATCTCTCCATGGCTCACTTGAATTTTCAGGACAACTGTGGAAATTAATTCAGGTTGGTGAAGCGTTTGGATTGTGCCCTAGGAGGGAATTAAACAGCTCTGTGGGAACAGAATTTGAATTGATTTGGTGAAGGAGAGATGAGGCTGTGCATGAGACAATGAGAATAACAAAACATGGTATAACTCCTCAGTTTGGGGAGCACAATGCATCCTTTGAGGCACAGGTTCTGCAGAGAAATTGTTTGATCACGTTATTAAAACATTCCTATTTTTAGGTGTATACAACATGCAAAAGTACATTGAATTAAACCTTCATAGGTATTGCTTAATACCCAGGTGCTTTGTGGCATTAATGTTTCGTTAACGTAGTCTGTATTTGGAATTCAACAGAGCTAGTGTGTCACACGTAAAAGCATTAACTGGGATTTTGCCAAGTGCTCCGTTAACGTAGTCTGTATTTGGAATTCGACAGAGCTAGTGTGTCGCACGTTAAAAGCATTAACTGGGATTTTGCCAAGTGCTGTGTAGACTCCTTAAATGACATATTTCATGTGCCAAGCATTCATGGACTTACAAAAGGGTAGGCGAAAGGGAGTGATTCTCATGTAGACATTGCGCAATGGAGCTCTGAAGTTCACAGGAAGTTTCAGTGGGGGTAAAGCAGCTGGTATCATTAGTTCAACAGTCAGGATTTTGAAGCCTGAGAAGAGATTTCTAACAGCCAAAGTGACCCTTTTTAGGATATGGATTTTCCTAGCCATTTGAGTAGCAAAATAGCAAAATCTCTTGTTCAGGCTTTCTTCTCTTTGTATCTGAATGGTTTGCAGTGTATTTTGTCTCACCTTAGCAACGCAGTGTTGCTCTGTTCATACCCATCTAGACTGTCGTCACCAAGATCATTTTCTCAGTCTTCTGTTTTGAACTCTGTCTCAATAGTTCATGTGTACCTCCTAGATCATGTCAAATACAAATATAAATGCAAATGCTCACCTTCAGTTTCTTGACACCAGTCATCTACTCTTTCCACAACGTGTCTTGCATGGCTTGAAGAAGACACCTCCCTCCTGCTCCAGTGGGTTCCTTGAGCCAGCCTCCATTGCCCTTTCATTTTGATATTTCATGTGCACCTTCTTGCTTTTTCTCATTATTCCGTAAGACCTTTCATGGTTCTTCATAGCCCTCCATAAGAAATACCATTGTCTTGGAGGGTGTGCTGTGCCTTTCAGTATGACCAATATTTCTGTAGCCTGCTCGGTTTTCCCCCTGTTGCCTAAATTTATCTGGGTTTGTGCAACATTCTCACTGTGGCAAGGGCTGCCACTTTGTCTGGCTAGTACAGTGCTTGGCAGAGTAGACTGAGGTGCTTAGGGGCTAATATAAGAATAAACCAAGAGTTATTTTCAGATAATGTCAACCCACTGAGCTCAGGAAGAGGAGCAAGGAGAGTAGGAAATTTTCTTGCAGCTCTTTTGGAGCAGAGGAGAGATCGTTGGTGACTTCAGAAGCTGGAATGTGTCAAAAGAGAGTAACTCGTTGCACAACACTGATCGTGGTAGTGAATGTGTAACAGGGGCTTGGAAAAAGTGGGGAGAGGAGAGTATCAAGGTGGAATTTGACCAGTGTATTGCTCTGTCCCTTCCTTTCACAGCCTTGTTCATCTGGAATGACAGCTGTCACCATGCATCATAAGAGGCAATGTCAAAAAAGTCTTAGATGCAGTTCTTCAAAGTTAGCTCTGTTAAGCGCAGCGTGTTGCTGTTGCTGAAAACCATCCATAACTCTACAAACCGGTTAGACTGGCTTCGAAGCCTAGAATAACTCCGAGCAGTTTGTGCAGATCTAAGTGGTGATGGCAGGGACGTCAGGTTGATCAGCAAAGTCAGGTTCCAGAGAAGTAAAATGACCGGCTGAAGGCCAGCAGTATCTTGCTGTCTTACAGAAGCTGAGTCCTCGTGATGAGTCCAGGGATTAGAGGTGATAAACATCACAAAGTGCAGCCATAGAGGACATGATGATACAAATCTCCACAAGTTCAGGGCGAATTACTTGGTTCACTGATAGCTCTCGTTTGTATGTAGCCTTTCCTCCTAAAAGAAGTCTAAAGCAGATTACAGATGATAGCGCTGCCACCACGGAGCTGGACCCAGAGGAGCGAGAGGCAGCAAGTGGAGGCTCTGTACAACACGCTGTGGGAGAGGTGTTGGCAGAAGTTACCCAAACAAGCATTTGAAAGTTGTATTTACTAAAGGATTCTGGATTTCCAGGCAAAGATAGCACTTTAAAGCTTATATCTGAACGATCCACACACAGCAAGCTAGAGGGAGGCCATGGATCCCCTGAATGTTTCATTGCAGTCAGCAGGGAGGGAGCCACGCTCTCGTGTTTGTGGCTAGAGAGGTGCAGGGAGGGTTGAGTGAGAGCAATGTCCTCCCTCCTGAGTTAATATTTAAACAGTGCTACCTCTCTTTTTCGTAAACACTTCTATTTTTATATTTCTGCATTTCCCAGAAAGCTTTGCGAGTAAGCTCTCCAGAAACTTGAATTCACTATTGAGCCCTTGCTGTACAGTTGCTTCTCTTGGCAGAGCTGGGCTCACTGTTCTTGAGCTTCTCATTACGGGATGTGTATTTTTCATTTTTAATTCCTTGATGTGTCTTTACTCAAATTACCTCCTTCCTTGCCAGCAGTGGAGGTTAGGCCCCACCACAAAGTAATTACTAGCACTGGAGATGTACATGCTTCTCCATTCTTCCAGCCACGCAGCTCCTGCGCAGCGCCTGTGTGCCGTGTGCGCCTGTGGTCTTCCTAGCGAGGGCAGACAGCAGCACAGAGGCTGTAAGCCCTCTCTTATTTTCGTTACCTGTTTGCAGCTGGCATCTCACCAGCTTGGTACCTTCAGATGCGGAAGGGTCTCATGTCAGCCTTGCAGACGGCTGGTGGCACAGCCGCGGCACCGCGGCTGCCTCCCACGGTGCTGATGCAGCATGCAGTTAATTCGAAGCTCTGTTGCTGTTTACTAGCCGTATGGTGTACGTGCTTGCTCTCTGCTTTAATTCCATATATGCAGTAAATTGTGTGAAGGCAGGAGAAAGCTTTGAAAGAAAGATCAACACTCTTTTATGTATGTTTGGCCTCAGATTCCAGTTGGTGGGTTTAATGGACGTGCTTCTCACAACTACTGACGAGATGCGGCATAGGAGTGTGCTGTATGCTGTTGGGATGCAGTACAGCTGGTGTAGGCTACTCTTCTGCAAGAGAACTTACATGACTGAAGTCTAGTAGTAGGGGTGGAAATTTTTGTAAGGCAGAAGTGCAACTGCCAAAAATGCATTTGATTTATTTTTGGTTTTTAAGTGGAGTTGTTTATAGCCTTGTGGAATTATTTTAAAGATTGAGTCCTTCCAAGTTATTGATCCTCTGTCGTACCTTAGACTTGGAAGTGTAAGTCCCATCTCAGCAAGCCAAACAGTGGCTGCTTCATGGATGGAAATGAGGAGCTACCAACTTACCATGTCAGCCTTCTTCTAGTTCTTGACAATGCAAGGCAAACCTTTCAGCTTTGTCCAGTGAGAAGTTGCATGGCTTTCTCCTGATGGGTGGGCTTGCAGTAAGTGGGGCTAGAGGACAATTCTGCCAACACATGATGCACATTTCATTGCTGCCACTCAAAATATGCCTGCTATGCTGTGACTTCCAGAGGCTCTGGGGAGGAAATTAGCATGATCACCGTGCCACTGGTGCTCCTGTGAAATCATCAAAGCCTTTATCCTCTTTTATACTTACTAAATGAATCCTCGGGGGAAAAATTTTGAAGTTGAGAGTGTGAAAAATCCTTTCTTCTTAAAAGTATAATGTCACCACCCTGGCTATTTGATGATTGCAAGCAGTAGAAGGAGCCGAAGCCTGGCAAAACGCTATCTCTACACGGAGGAATAAAACAGAGTGAGCAGGCGTTAGCGTGTGTAGGACATGGCTCCCTGGCTGCTTTACCCGATGGCTTGTTTATTCTTGTTCTGCTGTGTGTTAGCAGCTTTCGGCAATGTACAGCGATTAGTGCTCTGTGTCTTTCCTCGCTGCTCCTCTCTGTATCCTGGGGCTAGGATTAGGTTACAGCCCTGAAATGGCAGGGTTGTCTGTATCGACTGAGAGCTGAATAGTAAGGGCAGAGTTTTGTTGATAGACTGAAATGCCTTCTGTGTTTGTTTCCCTTCTCTGGAGGGGGGATGACATTATTTTCATTTGTAGTCTTTCTGTCTCTGACCTAAACATGTGGTGTCCAATTTCCTTCCCTGGCAGGTGACCTGGAAAATGAGGAATGGTGTCTGGCTACAGAGCTGACTCCAGCAGCCATAAAGACTGAGCCAGCGTTGTGTGAGACGTCAGGCCTTGCTCCCTCAGTCAGTCTCACTGTCACGGCCACGTCGCTGGAGGAGGAACCTGAGCTACAGACGGACACCTTGGTACTTGCAGGCTTTCTGTTCTCCTGTCTGCACAATTAGCTACAGATTCTCCTAAGACTCTGCATACCAGTGTAGCCTCCTTGGTGCCAAAGGTTGTCAATTCAGGGTGCACACTGCAGCCTGCTTTAGTATTTTTAAATGTTTGCTGGTGTCCCACTGGTGCTGTAAGAGCTTGTGTTTCAAAACACTTATCTACATCCTCAGGTCTCAGTGGTGGAATATACAGCTTTATCTCTATGCTAGCCCCAAAGCCCGGGGCTCAGTGTTTTTGAAAATATTTAAAGAGTTTCTAATGAACCAGTCCCACCTGAACTGACTAACCTATTTGCGTTATTGAGCCTGGGTCAAGCTAAGTGTCTTCCGTAATAACTTGCTTTAGTGCTACTGTGCCATCCTCTAATCAGAACAAGACTTCTTTTTTGAAACTAAATCACTTTTGCTAGATCTATGAAGTTCTGACATTTTGAGCTGCTGCTTCTGCACCAGCCTGCCTCATAAGGAGCATTTATGATGCCTTTCTTACCACGGCTGGAGCAGCCAGTGGGCATTCTCAAGGGCTTAGTTTAGCTGTGGTTGAGTTAAGGAGAATGAACTGCAGCAGCTGATGGCTCACCAGAGTCCTCTGTCCATGAAGGAAGAAGCATGACTGTTCTCAGTCCCCAGGGTGCGATGTCAGTCCAGGCCGGGTGGAGTTAGTATATGCTGAAAATAAATGTTTCCACTTGGATGTGGATCAGAAATATGTGCAACAGAAATTATTTTATGAGAAACTGAAAAAAATTAAACACAAGTTTCCCATAATCCTCTTCTAGTCTGAATGTGCTGTCCCTAGTACATGCTGTCCCTAGACACATACACATCCCTGCTGCAGCTTGAGATGCCATGATTTGCAAAGAGTGTATTGGGACTAGCTGGTGCCTTGTTACTGTTGCATAGATTAGTTACACAGGTTATTGAGAGTGATTTTGGCCGCGATGAGCATGCTGATGTGCCAGGCTGACTTCCTCAAGCCTGGGAATGTGGCATTCAGGCAGACTCTGGGCAACAGTTTGGCAGCCTGATGCCCCAGCCCTGTCAAGAGGGCAAGCCAGATGTCTTTCAAACTTTGGTCAGCTGTAACTGTCTCTTTTCCTGCTCCTCCACGCCATAAAATGGGCTTGGGTCTGATAATCAGGTGTACACTGACAGGAACCTTGCTTTTTCTCTTAGATGACAGCGGTCTTGAACAGGCTCTCCTCCACTGCCAGGAGTGTTTCTGTCTCTGCTCAAACAGACTGTGCAGTCCAGCAAATCCTAGCAGCAGCTCTGTTGCTAAGAGAAGTAATTTGAGTGGGTTGCATGCTAGCTTTCAGTCTGAAATGTCATCTCTGAGGCGTAATCTTTTATTTGGCTAAATATAGTAGTAAGAAAAGCCACAGTGGGAGTAGTCAGGGCAGTATTCTCTGTAGCCTGGTTTAGCAAACTTTGTGAAGCAGTTAAAGCTTTGCCTGTAGCAGAGCAGGAGGAGAGGGAAACCTCTCCATTTATGGAGAAGTCATCCTTGTATTCTTCTATTAAGATTTTTAAGATGTGTGCTTTGGATTTTCATGCTGTTAATTTCTCTTTTCTAGATGAAACCACTGAGCCAGAAAGTTCTTCCAGAGATTAAATTGGAGCCCCATGAAGTGGATCAGTTCCTGAACCTCTCTTCCAAGGAAGGTCTGTTAATTACCAACCCAAAATGCAGGGGTAGATGACCAGAATGCACAATGAATGTACTTTACCCTGATTAAATATTTGACTTCCTCGTTTGCCATGTTAATCTTCAGGCTGAAGCTGTTGCCTTCTAGGGATTCAGCTCAGGCTGTTGAAGAGCCAGGCTCTCCCTGACCCATTTATGTGTTTTTCCTTTTTTTCTCTTTGCTCATCACAAAGAAAATGATCCCTTTTTTGTCTGTAATGTATTAACAATTGTACAGTTGCTTGAGGGAGCTTGAATCCTTAAAGTACAGGATTATTTAGGGTAGAAAAGAAATCAATTTGAGGGGACTTCACTAAGGCATATAAAACATGAAGAGCATAAGTAGAAACTTTACTGTTTTAACCTCTGATGCAAAAGCAAGGATGTGAGTTTATATGAAGTTAAAAGTTAGTTGCATCTGTTTGTAGCATTAGATTTAGCAGAGTTTTTAAGAACCACCAGGATCCCTTTGCACTAATCTATAAAGGAGGAAGGAGGAGCAATGATCCCTGCTCTGAAAGCTGAACATGGTTTTGTGGCACATAATCTGTCAACCCAAGGAAAGTTTGAAGGAGCCAAATATTTGGGCTGAATATGAGCAGATAACTGCATCTCAGTTAGGAACACTTGATACTCTGTTAGTGAATTCGCTTGTGTAGGTAAGTAGAACTGCTCTAGGGAGAGAAGCAAGTGATGGAGCAGGTGGAAAAAGGGAAGCTATATCTCAACCCAGGGCGTAGATTTGATTGCTCAATTTGTAGGATTAAGGACCTTGCAGTCTTTCAAGTGTGTATCTTCTCCTGGCAGCTACTAGAGTTAAGATGCTAGACAAAAAGAGCTCATATATATTAGCTTTTTTTTTGTTACTATTTTCTTCCTTCCTCGCTCACTGTCCATTTGATCTTTTCAACTCAAATTTGCAAAGTATAACAGAAGTGGAAGGTGGCAAATTCAACCCTGTATCTTCCTACTCCCAATTTTCATTGCTGTAAATTTATCTCAGAGAAAAAATGACAATTATGGCTGGTTTGGATATCTGCTAATTGTCCATGTAATATGAGTAGGTGAGACATTGTCCTGTTTCTCTTGATCCAGACCCATTTGGTCATAAACAGCACTTTGTTTGCCAATTCTAGCACAAGTTCTTTTGGCTACAAGTGCAGTGGAAGTTAGCGTATGGCCCTGGATAGCACAGTGTGAGAGAGGTTCCTGGACTGGTTGCCTATGCTGCCCATGCTCCATGAGTACATTAAAGCCTTCGCTGTCACTAGGTTGTCACAGTTGTGCCAAACCAGGTCCTTAGGAGGCAGATTATCTCTCTCCTCCCTGTTCATATAACACCTTGGACATGAGACCTTCTCTTGGAAAATACTGGTGATATTTTTTTAATCCACAGCAAAGTTAGGATATTGGCTTTTGGAGAGAAAGCATACTGGCTCAGAGCCCTCTATTATTGTGGTTTCCCAGGGACAGGGGACTTGTACTGGAGGGCTATACCTAAACCTCAAAGCATTTGGAGAAGAAGCTGAAGTGTAGGTAGAAACGACTGGAGCATATGCGCAGAGCCCTGTTTTGTCTATTGAAACTAAAGATAGCTGCTACATTTCATTCTTCCTTTGGAGACCTGCATGCCCTGAAAATCTTCAAGTTGCTGCTTTTACTGGATCCATTTTTTAGTAGAGTCCTAGTTGTGGAAACTGGGTGGTGGTGGTGGGGACTTTAGTGGAAATTTAAATTAGCACTTCACAACCTTGTGTTATATGTCACTCTTGCCATTTAGCAGTGGATCCCCTGCATTTGCCTCCAACCCCTCCCAGCAGCCATGGCAGTGACTCTGAAGGAGGGCAGAGCCCAGCTAGATCGCTCCCTCCTTCCAGCCCAATCCAATTACAAGCCACGGCTAAAGTGACGTCGCGCACAGCTTCAGCGCTCTCTAATTCCCCTCTCCTGACTGCACCACATGTAAGTTGGGTTGCCTCCAGCATCTGTCTGTCTCTTTTTTTTTTTTAATTACTGGTTTTGCCATGGATTTGCTAACTTTCTCTTGTTCTTTTGATGAACCCATCTCTGGTCAAAACTGCAGATCCAGTAATTCTTGCTCACTGGTCTGTTCTGTTCCCACAGAGAACAGTGTGTGCCTCTCCTCTAAGCTGAGACAGGGTTCAACAGTGTTACTAGGTTTCTCTCTCAAAACAAAACCATGGTTTGTGTTTTGCATTAGGGCCTAACCCTGCTGGGTTAACCTGTCCCTGGTAGATCTGCATCTGTCCTCTTGTCTTGTCGAAAGCTGGAAGTGATCTTTAGGGAGGGATTTTCAATAGTGCTTCTCACTTGTCTCTGTGTTTAAGCCAAGAGAAGTTTTACTGTTGGCCTCAGTGTGTACAGAGCTGGGCTGAGAACAACTGTTTAGAGGGAATGCTGTCCCAAAGGTTTGATCTCTGAATGGAAGCTATCTAAAAGGTCTTTCTGTTCCACGCATTTCCAGTTGCAAGATGTTGCTGTGTTAGTAGGCAGAGTCCTCTCTGAAGTGGGAGGTCTGCTGCCTCTCTTCCCTAACACCCTTTTCTCTAGGGCTGTGTGCACTTACTGTCATATTATTTTGCTTCTATGACACTTGCAGAAATTACAGGGGACTGGCCCACTCATCCTGACAGAGGAGGAGAAGAGGACGCTGATAGCAGAGGGGTACCCGATCCCTACGAAACTGCCCCTGACGAAAGCAGAGGAGAAGGTGCTGAAGAAAATACGCAGGAAAATAAAGAACAAGGTAAATGTTAGTTAGCTTTGCTGGGTAGTTCCTACACTTCCTTCAGCTTTGCTGGGTAGTTCCTACTCATCCTTCATTTAAAAAGATGCTGCAACAATTCTGCAGTAATGATCTGTGGGACTGTTGAATGCTGGAAGATGTCTTTTAATAAAGTCTTTTTCTTTGTTCCTAAACACATCCATCAAATTGTCTGTCGCTGTGACAGCGTGCCTCTGCCTAGGTATTTACCTGAACACAAGAACAATAGAGTATTTAGTAAGCAGGGTATTAAGTTGCTGTTGCTTGGCTCCGTTTTAAAAACGGTACAATCCTACCCTTACGGTAGGCAAAGACCTCTGTGTTCTTTCCGTGGTGATGAAGGTGTTCTTTTCCACTGTTTCACGTTTTAAAATCTGACTGTGTTTCAGTGCCCTAGTCTTTTGATCACTGAATTCCATGACCTTTAAATGAATGGTTGATACCAAGGCTGTGAAATGCCCTACAAGTCTTTTCTTTCTTCCAACATAGGGAAGAACTAGTGATAGGGAGGAAAGCTTTTTTTTCGTACTTGTCCAGCTCACGTGTTCTAGAGGATATTAGCACATCTTTCAAAGTTAATGCATTCTTTTACTGTTTTTGCAGATAGAGGTGTAAATTTGCCTACACTGAATTGGAATTTGGTCTTGTAATATATTTTTTCAAAATGTTTGGAAGTGAACTGTGCATTTTATGTACCACTTTCATGTAATCAGTCATTTATATTGGAAGGGATCTCCGGAGGTCCTTTGATCCAACTCCTTGCTTTGATAGCAGAGTCATCTTAGATCAAGTTGCTGAGGGACTTGTCCAGTCATGTTTTACTGTCTCAAAGGGTGAAGAGTCCCCAGCATTTCTGGGCAACCTGTTCCCATATTAGGTCGCTCTTGTGGTAAAAATAAATAAATGACATTCTTAACGTCTGATTGGAATTTCCCTTGTTGCAACTTGTATTTGATGCCTCTTGCCATTTTGCTATACCCCTCTGAGAAGACTCAAACATCGTTTCACTACGCAAGATAGCTGAAGGCAGCAATAAGATTCCCTTGTTAGTGTTCTCTTCTTAAATCTGAACAAACCAAGCTTTCTCTGTCTTTCCAGATATGTCATGTGCTCCAGCACTCTTATTATAGCAGTGGCCCTCCTCTGGACTCGCTTCCGTACATCCAAAGTATTTATTTCAGAGCCACAAACTGTACACTATACTTAACTGTGGTCTTGCAGGCACTGAATAGAGGGGAAGAACTCTTCTCTCGACCTGCTAGTTACCGTCTTGTTAATGTAGACCCGGATCTGGTTGGCCACCTTTGCTACAGGGGCGCATTCCTAACTTATGTTTGACTTGTTCATCAGGACCCCCAAGTCTTTTTCTACAAAACTGCTTTCTAATTCATGCATGGGCTTTTCCTCTCCCAGATGCAGGGCATTGTCCTGGGATCATCTTTTAGTATTTGTCCTAGGATAAGCTCTCCAGGTGAATCTGATTTGCTTTTTAAGGTTAGTTCTGTAAGAGCAAGGAATGATTTTTTCCTACTACTGAGAGGAGCAGTCTTGCTTCAGGATGTGGAAACGGACCAAATCAGTGCTTTGCTTGCCAGGAATAGAAACGAGAACAGCATGGAGGCTTGAATCTAATAACGTCAGGCGTTTTTGCCAGTTTATTAGTTCTTCTCTGATACTTTTTTTTTCTGTGCAAATATTTGGTGTTTTTCTTCCTTTTCCCTTAGATCTCTGCCCAGGAAAGTAGAAGAAAAAAGAAAGAATACATGGACAGTCTGGAAAAAAAGTAAGCCAGCCTCTACTGTTTCAAGCAGGCCAATTGCACTAGTTGCTGGGCTGGGAAGGGATCCAGCTGTTGATGCTGGGACTGTTTTGTGCACAGAGTGCCAGCTGCCATCTCGTGGTTATGACTGAGAAAAGGCCCTTCTTCTGGCTTCTGCTTGTACGTGTGCTGAGGTGCTGCATTCATAACTGTGTCTACCTGCAACACGTTGCTAACATGCCAACAAAAAATTTAAACCTTAAATAAGGCAAGACCCTTCTACTATTGGTCTCTTCCTCGAGCAGCTGTTGACCTAGTGGGAAGGCAGTGTCCAGGGAAAGGTGGATTCAGAGTAAATATGTTCTGTCTTCTAGTGCAGGTGGAGACAGAAATAGGAAGTGGGTGAGTCAGGATTGCCTGGGAAAATAAGCAGGACTCAGGAAAACAGCGTGTGACCCATCAACTTCCCTTAGCGAGAAGGAGCCAAACCCCCAGTTTAGTGATTTATATCCCAAATTAATCTTTCTTCCAAGAGACAAGTATTCTAGTGTTTCTGTAAAGTGCTTCACCAGATGGGTCTGTTAAACCCCTTGTACCATATTTGGTGATAGCCTTCATGTAATTTCTTTTTTTTTACTTCTTATCTCTTTATAGCCAAGTCTTGCTTTCTCAGAGTTACTCTTGTGAAATTCTACTCTATGCAGATATCAAAGCTATTTCCCGTTACCTTTTTCCTTCTTGAAGATATTCCAGATAATCATGTTTGTCTTTTTAGGAGTCCCATATTTTTACTTGGACCTCTTATGTGCCATGTTACATAGTAATATCCTTTAGTTTAGGGGGTTTCCAGGGGCAGTGTGGAAATGAACACTCTCTTGGGTATTCATCTCCTGGCTTATTAGCCTCCGTAAACTTGAAATTCAAGGATCTGATTTCAGGAGCATGGGATTTGCCAAATTGCTTGGTGCCTTATCCTAGCAATGAAGTGCAAAGGAACACCTTTGCACAAAATACTTGCTAACAACATAAATACTTTAAAAGTCACAGAATATGCTGTATCTGTCCCATGGCTCGATTCACAGAGACAATCTGAGCAGGGTCTTTGCTATTGCTGTTTCAAGGAGCAAAAAGTAGTTGCAGCCCATCCTGAGTAAGCTGCACCTAGTGGTATGTAGTTGAGCCCTGTAAGCAGGTGCTCCACAGCTAGTAGTATCTTTTGCAATGTCTTTTACACTATGAAGTATGATTAAAGATTACGACTAAAGTTTGTTGGTGTAACTTTTCATTAAATGTAGGCAAGATCATAGAGCTCTTTGTGAAAGCAAGTTTGGTTTGTTTTACCATATTTTTAATAAATTAATGATTTTTTAAATTCCTCTTTCTTTCCTTGTACTGTCTTCAGAGTTGAGACCTGTTCAAATGAAAATAGTGAGCTGCGTAAGAAGGTTGAAGTCCTGGAGAATACTAACAGGTAATGTATGAAGGAAATAAAACAAAACTGTAGTGCGATATAATAGTCAAAAGTGAAAATCTAGAAGTTAAGAGATCAATTGAAATGTGAACAATAGCTGCATCTGATGTGGTTAATGTGAGAGAAAGATGAGGAAGGCCAATTATTGTGACTGCAATGTGATACAAAGCATGGAGGCTTTGATGTCAGGTCTGTCTTCCTAGCCTGTGGTGTGCTTGAGAAACCTTTAGCACTACTCTTTGAGCTCTTCCACTGCCCAAGGAAACATAATTAGTGATACACAACAAACAAAAAGCTACAGCCCAACTCTCCAAATTGTCTTCATTTAGTGAAAGACTGTTTTGGCAGGAGACCTTGACCTGGAACATGACACTTCCAGAAATTACAATGCTGAAGCTCAAGAGTCATTATTAGTTTCTTCTGAACTACTAGATGTCATTGCTATTATTATGCATCTTTCTAACCATCTCACACCCCAGAATTCCCTTCATTTGGAAGTGGAAAATCAGCTTTTTGTTTCTTCATTTCTGAAGAAACGGATGATTCAGTGGCTTTCTCAAAGGACACATGGCAGAAAATGTTGGATAGCTGAACTTTTAGTTGGATGTTAGCTGAGAGTGGAGTGTCAGTCATGGCTTATGCTCGATGTGTTCTCTAATGATGGCAAATTCTAGATACTAGATAAGCCCACTGTTAACACTTTCTAGTTAGAGGCATTTGTAGGGATGGTTGAATATTACCACTGAACATGATAGTAGCACTGAAGTGTGGGAGGAGGCTGGATTTTGAAGATAAGACCCACGATCATGGAAGATGGCCCTAGAGCTTGTCTGGCAGCCAGTGTATTGCTAATTGAGTGGCATGTGTTGTTTCTAATCTCCGGATCCAATCTCTAATTTCATGGAGCCAGACCCTGTAGCACTGTAATTTGCTGAAGAGTGTCTCCCACACATTGCTCATGCATAAAGACATCTGCTGCTTGTTTAAAGAGAGCCAAGCCATTTCTGTGCCTCTTGTATCTTCCTCCAAGGTTTTACATAAAAGAACCAGGAATTGCTCTGTAGGTGTGGAGTAGGGTGTTCTCTCCCAAGATCTGTCCCAGGAGGTGCTGAAGCCAGCTGCTCTAAGGAAAGATGCAGGTGTTGATGAACCACTCAGTGACAACATGTTGTCAAGCCTAGAGTTGTTCTCCCCAGTTCAGCTAAATTTGACCAGCTGTTTTCATCTCTGAGTTGTTGTGGATGCGGTTGTGCAAACAGCTTTGTTGGTATTGTCCATCCATTTAGACAGGACCTTTAGCATCTTCTCTATTATTTGATCATCTTAATTCTCTCATGGTAAATTTTCTAAAAATATTTGGCTAAATGATATTATCTCCAAATCCTTCATGTTTTGAGCATGTGGGATGAGTTGCATTGTTTTCTTCCCTCTGCAATAGCATTGATATTGATTTGTAATCTCCTGCAGAGAAGCAGATGTTCCTGACCCTCCGCACAGAAATTCTTGTAATTCGTGGCGATGCTGTTTTGGCTGTTTAGATACAAACTGTATCTAAAATCTGTTAAAGCTTAAATTGAAGTACTGAGAAATTTTCAAAAGTGCCTGCTGTGCTGGGGTTATGTGGTGGGGTTTTGGTAGCAGGGAAGGGGCTGCAGCAATGGTCCCGGTAAGGAGCTGCAAAAAGCTTCCCTGGCTCCAAAACTGGTCAGACCAGTCTCTGGCCAGGGCTCAGCCAATCAGCACCTCCACGAATGCCATATTTAAGAAGGGGACAAAGGAACCTGACCCAAGCAGGACCAAGGGAGTGGAGAGATGAGAGGCTGGCCCTCTGAGACAGGGGGCGCCTGCCTGTACTGGGCCACCATTACTCAACTGGAGATAGCTGCGGCAGCTCAGCTTGGAGAGCTCCAGAGTGCCCCGCTCCTGGGGCACCCACTCGGAGTTCATTCCTGCCGGGACATTGGCAAGTTCATCGGGCCGATCGGGCCTGGTGTGGCTGCAGCAGAGAGAGGACTGAGATCTGAGAGAAGTGGCTACGCAGACACCAAAGTCAGTGATGATGGAACAGGAGAAGATGTGCTGGAGCTGAGGTTCCCTGCAGCCAGTGGTGAGATGGCAGGTGGCCCCCCTGCTGCCCATGAGAAACACAGTGGAGCAGAGACCCACCTGCAGTCCCAGAGAATGTGGGGTTCTCTGGGGGACCCCATGCTAGAGCAGAGATGCCTGTGCCCGAAGGAGTTCGTAGTGGACTGTCTCCATGGGAAGGACTCCCATGCTGCTGGAGACTGACAGTGGAGCAGAGATGCATCTGCAGTCCATGGGAAGGGACTCCACGCTGGAGCGGGTGGCTGCACCCTAAGAAGCTGTGACTCCATGGGGAAAACCCGCGCTGGAGCAATCTGACGAATAAAGATTGCATCCTGCAGGAGGAACTTGGAGAAGTTCCTGGAGGACTGTTTTCCATGAGGAGAGGCCCCACATTGGAGCAGGGAAGAGTGTGAGAAGTCCTCCCCCTGAGGAGAAAGAAGCAACAGAAAACAGTGTGTGATGAACTGACCTACAACTCCCATTCCCCATCCCCCTGCGCTGCTGTGGAGAGTTGGTAGAGCCAGGGAAGAAGGGAGGGGTGGGGGGAAGGCGTTTTTAAGATCTGGCTTTATTTCTTTTTATCCTCTCTGAAGTAACTGTTAAAGAATTAAATTGATTTGTCCCCACGTGCAGTCTATTTTGCTCAAGGCCATGTTTGGTAGGTGTTCCCTGTTCTTATCTGGACCCTCAGGCCTTTTGTTACATTTTTCTCCTCTCCTCCCCAGGGAGGAAGGGGGTAAAGGGGGAAGAGAGGCAGGAGCAAGTGGCTGCATGGTAGCTTAGCTGCCAGCTGGGCTAAACCATGACACCTGCTTTCATCAAGCCTAATTATGTAACATACCACATTATGGGTTTTTTCACCTTAAAGAGTCACTTGCCTTATTTAGTGTAAAATTGGGCAAGTATCTCATTCAGAGAATGATTCCAGGTCCTTGTTTAATGTGCATTATCCACTTCCTATGGTGAATTCTAAATGTCTGGTTTCCTCGTTGGTATTTGCATAGAGCCTTGATGTGGCATCCAGGAACTGTTCAAATGTTTCAGAACTTGTCTTCACAGCATCCTATAGCTGGTACTTCCATCTCCTATGTACAGTCAGGAATCAAAGTTCAAAGCAGTGATGGTCAAAATTGTGCAATGTCAGTTCATTTCTTAGTGACCAAATTTATATGTTTAGGACTTTGTCTCAGAGTACCTAGCACACAGTCATACACACACATATCTTAATATGCCCAAAGCAGAGCCCCAGTTGACTTTAACTGCAATTTTGAGTGTTAAATGCAGTAAAAAGTAAGACGTTGTCGAAGGTATTATCCAAAAGTAGATCTACAAACGTTAGAACTGTCGATTTTTTTTTTTTTTTCTGAAAAATTGTAAGAGGGGAGGAAAGATAACAGGAAAATAAGAGCTGTGATAACATGTAAAAATGTTCATGCATTCAAGTGTAGCTGAAGACAAAGTTGTTTTTTTATCTTGTTGGAAAATTGGGCTATAACTGCTTACCTAAAAGTTCACACACATGTATGTTCTGTCAGTCAGTATCATGTTTTTATAGTCTGGCTGGAGTTGAGAGGAACTGAAGAGCAATTTCCAAAACATATAACTATTGAACAGTAGAGTTTCCTTTCAGTATGTGCAATCAGTTTTTTAGAGCATGTTATTCTATATATAGAACAAATTTGCACAGATACATACCTAAGACTTCAGGGAAACCCTGCTGGCATTTCCAAATCTGGCACCAAATCATGGAAACACTAAAATTTCTTCTGGTAAAAATGTTCCTATATTATTCTCAGTAACATGAAAAAACTGAGAAGAATCTTCCCTGAGAGCCTGCCTAAGCCAGAAATTCTGGATCTGGAAAGATGTAATGTAAAAGGTGCAAGTGTGGTCAAAAACTTTGCATCCAGAAGCATCTCCCTTGACATTCATGCATCTTAAAAGGCAAGGCGGGAGGCTGGGGATCAAGACGCAGGGGAGTTTTTAATTCTCGTTACTCTGAGTGGGTGTCTGCAGCATTTTTGACATCTTTAGTATTAGAACACTAGCATATGTTTCCTCTCCTAATTTATGTGACTCAGTCCCTTAAAAGAAACCCATCCAAGTTCCTTTCTAGGCAGTTATCTCAAAAGCAAGGAAGCACATTATTGCATGCGTATCTGTTCTGTCTTGTAGCCGCAAGTGAGCCAGGCTGTTGTTGGTTTGAGGAGCGTCTGAACCTGTAGGGTACTGTTGTCTTAGAAAGCAAAGGGTGTGAGAACATGTTGGCACCAAGAGTTGAACTAACGTGTCCCAGTCACCAAGAAGGTTTGATCCGCTCACATTTTGGCACTGAGACCAAAGGCAGAAGCTTCCAGTGATCTAGGGGGTTGAATATGGTCTCTGACGCCAGTGTTGTCTTGCTGGGAGCCATGGGTATTTGGGCTTAAAGACACTTTTGAAACATCTGGTACTGTGTATGATATAAGAGAAGTAGTTTTGTTTTTCAGTTCTGTTGAGTCTGTATTTATAAATAGGTGATCACTTTTCCTGGAAAAATGATAGACATAGGATTCAATTAGCATATGGTTGAGTGTGTCACACAGACAATGCATGCAAGTAGCTGCTAGAGCTGCTCGGATAGTGTAATGACTAGCAAGTTGTGTAGATGTCTACTCTGGCAGTGTGGTGGGGGTTTGGTAGAAGGGGAGGGGCTGCAGAGATAGCCCCTGTAAGGAAATACAAGAAGCTTCGCCGGCTCCAAAACTGGTCAGACTGGTTTCTGGCCAGGCCTGAGCTGACCATCACCTCTGCGAATGCCGTATTTAAGAAGGGGACAAAGGAACCTGAGACAGGCAAGACCTGCAGTGAAGAGAGGGGGAAGTGAGGGGCTGGACCCCCCAGGCCTCCACCACCACCCTTTGACCTCCTGTTCAGATGGCTGCCTGCACTGCACTGCCACCACTCTACTGGAGATGGCTGCGACGGCACTCCGGCTTTGAGTGCTCCGAAGCTCCCCACTCCCGGGGCATCCACTGAGCAGAGCTTGTCCTGCCAGGACTGCTGAGGTTCATCGGGCCTGGTGTGGCTGCAGCAGGGAGAGGACTGAGATCTGAGAGAAACAGCTACGCAGACACCAAGGTCAGTGACAGTGGGGTGAGAGGAGGTGTGCTGGAGCTGAGATTCTCCTGCAGCCCGTGGTGAGAGAGCAGCAGCCCTGCTGCTGCCCATGAGAGAAATGGTGGAGCAAAGATCCACCTGCAGCCTGTGGAGAACCCCACACTGGAGCAGAGAGGCCTGCACCCGAAGGAGTTTGTAGAGGACTGACTCCCGTGGGAAGGGACCCCACACTGCTGGAAATTGACAGTGAAGCAGAGATGCATCTGCAGTCTGTGGGAAGGGACTCTACGCTGAAGTGGGTGGCTGCCCCCTAAGAAGCTGTGACTCCATGGGGAAAACCCACACTGGGAGCAGTCTGATGGGGAAGGACTCATGTTGGAGAAGTTCCTGGAGGACTGTCTTCTGTGAGAAGAGGCCCCAC